TGATTGGCTCGTTAGAGCGTAAGTACTATATACAGACGTAAGATTTTTTATTGCTGATATTTTTCCTCAGGTCGAGTCTTGAACGGTGCCTAAAAAGCTTTGATTAAGGAGAGATCAAGAAATAAAAAGCAAGTTCTGAATTGCGTGTCAATGAACTTTTTTTAGAAACGAAAAAAAAAAGAAAAAAGAGGAAGAAGAGAAAAAAATGGGGATTATTTATTGGATTCTCGCGGTGTGTCGTTTCGCGTTCGTCCTCGACAAGAAAAAAAGAAAAGAGAAAACAAGATTGTACGATTCGAAGAGAAAGAAAATGAATTAAAGAAAGGAGAAAGCAGGAAATTAATAACAAAAAAAAAAAAAAGTAATTAGATGAAATCGATTCATCTCAGAGGAACAAAAGATTTTGATGCGACACGACGATAAAGATAAGATATACCTATATACATACCGTCGATGCGTAGAAAGTACCATGTCATATATATGTATATTATATATAACAAAAATACGCGCGTGTGTATGTATGTATGTGTACGAGTGAATTTGGATATTTGAAAAAATTTGTGTGCGTATGAGTGTGCGTGAAATGTTAAATAAAAGGATTATTGTAGTGCTCCATTTAAGGAAAGCACGCAGGCTGCGGCGAAAATTGTGCTGCAACCGGTTGCAGAATTATTTTTCTGTCAAAAAGTAGGTCGACTGTGTCATGGAGCAAGTTTTCTTCGGTCCAAAAGTTTTATCAAGGAAATGAACTTTCAATATTGTAAAATATGCATATAATTAATTTTCAAGAAATAAAATATGTATTGTAAAACATTGTAAAAGTGCATGAAAAATATAGATGAATAAATTTTTTTGTAATAAGTATAAGGTTATGTTTTTATTAAAAGTATTAAAATTTTTATTGAAAATTTGAAAATATTTCGAATAATCAAGATTTTAAATGAATGACGAAACAATTGAATATCAAAAAATATTTTGATATTCGAAAGAAATCGATTTATTTATTAAAAAAGGCATATATTCTATGATATTATGATTTCTTCGAATTAAAGTAAAGTTCGTAACACGAAACACAAATTTGTTCCATGATATTGCTTATTTTTACACAGAGAATATGATTTAATTTCTAATAGCACCACTACTTTTGCCGCATCTTGTTTAATCGAAGAGAATAATATTAAAGCTACATCTAATATAAAGGACAATGAACAAGTAGATAGGTTACGCCGATACATGTATGTACCTATAAAATATAAGACGAGAGTACGCACTTTTGTAATAGTAGTTTTGAGAAATAAAAACGAAATAAAGCGAAATAAATGATAGTGAATGATATATATATATATGATATATATATCACATATATTAGATAATATAAATATAAAGAAGAAAAAAGAGTTGACGCTTGATACACCATAGTTTTCACCGACATATCCTGGTTGAACACATCCTCTTTACGTACATACTGCATACTAGTTCTTATTATGATACCACCACACGATTACTACACGAGAGTATAGGGTATTTTATGAATAAAAATGACGATAATATCATTATTATTATTAATTATTATTATTGATTGTCACATGATTATTATTGTTTATTACGATTCTTGATTATTATCGTATCATTACGATTATGATTATCGAGAATATAAATACGTATAAACGTAACGATGGTACAACTAAGGCAAGTATGTACTGTACATAGCTGTCACTTACCCTCTGCCCCACCATGCAACTATATAAATATATAAATATATAAATAAATCTCTATATATATATATAAATACATAAAGCCATTATATTGCAAAACATTAATCATTGTTGTACTAATGATTATTTTGAAATAATATTGTCTTTATTATTATTATTATTATTATTATTATTATTATTATAATTATTTTATCGTAAACAATTGTAATTATTATTAATATTAATATTATTATTATTATTATTCTTATTATTATTATTATTATTATTATTATCATCGCTACTTTATATGATTATCGCGATAAGAATATGTCAAGGCCGCGTGTAATTTTAATTAGCGTACGATATTATCATTTGCGAAAGTAGATCCTCACTCTTAGCTAAGGAAGATAGAAAAATTGTATTTTCACTTTCTTCACAGATTGGAATTCTACCTCACTTTTATTGATACTACCATTGAACGACGAAGAAAGTATGAAAACCGTGAAAACGAAGAAAAATGAAAAATGAGAAAATTATTATGTCACATTCTTCGTGCACTTTTTTTCTATTCTTCCACGTAATTTATTAGACATATTGAAGAATTCACGAATCGGATCAAAATGCTTTTCATTATTAATTATTATTTTTATTAAGTAACAAGTATTGTTAAAATAAAACTGCAGCGACCTCAGCCTGTGATAGTTAAAAAAGGATATTATTTAAATTAAGTATCCGGTGTATTATGTGAAATATACATAGAGAACATCGATCAGTTATAGTTTCGATGGGTCGAAATATGTTTATGTACACGTTGCGATTGGACTTTTGTTAGGAAGACTCTTGTGCCTAGAATCGAGCTCATTATAACACAAAGATATTGTTAATTACGAGAAAAAGAGAAAAAAAACGGATAATTTGATAAAATATTGCGTGCAGTTTCAATCGATAATAGTCAAGTCATTTTTTATAAATTCCATTTTTGTAATATTTTATGCTAAATATATACAGTACAATATATATTATTTTTAACTTAAAATTTTGCCTTAAAAAATTCACTGATTCGTTGCGTTCTCTTAACAAAAATTCAAACAAAATATTATTTATTTATATTGTTACACAATAAGATATTACTTTGAAATTTATCTATAATTGTATGTGATAAGAGACGAAAGTGTAGTAGCCACAGAGTACGTAAATAATAAAAATGTAACAAATGTATCATTGAGTGCTTTAAGCATATGTATACATGTGTAACAAACGCTGTGCGTTTGTGATCATGATTTTTTTTTTTTTTTTTTTTTTTTTTTTTTTTTT